CGTGATTCTGAATGTCTAATTTCAAGTACATACATCACAAAAACCAAACGAAAAACTCTACTATGCTTGATGTTTTCACAATACCACACTGGTACCATGTGGTATTCTAAGGGGAAAAAGTTCTAGCAGTGGTAAAAGTACTTACAGTGAACTACATTTTATAGAAACGTGTCGAAAAACTCTACTATGCTTGATGTTTTCACAATACCACACTGGTACCATGTGGTATTCTAAGGGGAAAAAGTTCTAGCAGTGGTAAAAGTACTGACAGTGAACTACATTTTATAGAAACGTGTATAAACGACAACAAAACCTATTCCATACTCTGATTTCTTTACAATACCATAGTATACCATATGGTATAACATGGTATAAACACTGGTACCATATGCTATTATAAGGAGAAAACCGTTCCAATAGTGGTAAAAGTACTTACAGTGAAATACATTTTATAGAAAAGTGTATAAAACGACAACAAAACCTATTTCATACTCTGATTTTTTTACAATACCATAGTATACCATATGGTATAACATGGTATAAACACTGGTACCATATGGTATTATAAGGAGAAACCGTTCCAGTAGTGGTCAAAGTAAAAATGAAAAAGATTTTATAGGAAAAGTATAAAAACCTATTCTATGCTCAGATTTTCTTACAATACCACACTGGTACAATATGGTATTCTAAGGAGAAACCACACAAGTACTGGTCAAAGCCACTACCTCAATTATTCATTTGCTTACTGATAGAATATGGTATAGTATGGTATGCTATGGTATGGTAGTTGGTGTTTTTGCTTACTGGTAGAATATGGTATGCTATGGTATGCTATGGTATGTTAAAGCAATTCTTCTATTCTGGATGCAGGTACATCATGTCGAGACATAGGGACAAATTTCGAACAAGGTGCAGCCCGACAAGAATCAATGCACTTTCAAGAACATTAACAGCTGAACAGAGGGAAAAATTGCAGGAATTAGGCCTTGACGGCTTAACATCCATCCAGCAAACAAAGATAAACACGAACTTTGCTCTATTCACAATGAGCAAGTACAATCCGATAAAGAAAGCATTCAAGCTGCCTGGTGGAACCTACATGAAGATATCACCAATTGACTTTCATAGAGTTTATGGTCTACCAATGGGTAAAAAGGAAGTGACGCTCAAGAAATTATCAGTGGAAGAAGCAGTAGACTATGCGACGCAGGTCCTACTAGAACTAGAAGCTCCAGCTACAAATGGAAGGGTGAAATTAGCTAATGTAGAGCATGACATTTCTAATGCTCATACCATTGCAAGATGGATCAAGCTGTTCTGGATTCTGGTTACGGGAGCTCTACTGTGCCCATATTCGAACCCTACTGCTGAGTTGAATGTGCTGGAGTACATGCAGCCAGACACAATCAACCATTTCAAAGAATACAACTGGTGCAAGTTCTTCTTCGACTACATGAATCACGGGTTGACTGCAAAAACCGTGTACATCAATGCAGATGTTCATTTCTTAACAGTAAGTATCTATACCCACAATAATTCCATTTTCAATTACTATACCCTAAAAGCTTTACAAATCCTAGTACATCAAATACTAATACAACTGTTTCTCCTTGCCACAAACAAATAAAAGGTATGCTTCATGTACAAGTTGGATGAAATGGCCTTCTCCACCCAGTTCCAAATCCCAACAGCAAGCTACTATGATGACACTGCTGTGCAAAGGAACTTTGAAAACATAGTGAGCTACTATGGTGGAGAAGAACTCCATAAGCTGATGAAGATACAGGACAAAGAAGAGAAGATTGTCGACATTGACAGTGATGATGATGACAACAACACAGACCAACAACCATCAGCATCAATGATATTTGATTTGAAGATGATCAAGACTGTTCCCCAAGTAAGTATAAATTACCATATGTTACAAATTGTCCAATTCATACAACTAAAATACCACACATGAACCATGGTGGTAATATATGGTATTATACTGTATAATGCACATACCATTCAATACCACCATGGTAATATGTGGTATTCTACTGTAAATATTAACTTACAGACCAAAAATGACTAATGCAGGCTGAGAGAGCACTGAAGATGGTGAAAACATCAATGAAAGCTATGTTGCTATCAATCAAGAAGCAGTACAGAGCTCAAATTGAAGAGCTTGTCAAACACAAGGAAATGTTGGAGCAAAAAGCTGATCAAAACTTTGATGAAGTGGAAGGAGAAAGATCTGATGACTTGATTATCGAACAAACTGAAGGAGCTGAGTCTGATGATGAAGATATAGAAAAAGATGCAAACCTGCAAGACACTCTGCAGCATTTTTTTGACAAGCTCAAAACAGACAAAAGGAAAGAACCCACAGTCACTGAATCTGAAGGAAATGATGATTCTCAACAAACAACAGTGGATCTAGCTGGACCAACACAATGGAAGAAAAGGAAGAATCAAGATGGTTCTCCAACAAAACCAGAAGCTCAACAGCAGAAAGAGAATCCTGCTGAAACTGCTGAGAAGGATACTACTGAAACTGCTGAGAAGAACCAGGAGGCCAGCAAAAAAGGAAATCAAGAAAAGTCAAGTGAAATGAATCAAGATCAGGAGGCAGATGACAGTGAAAAGACACAGTCAGATGTGCTTGTTTCAAAGGAGGGAGAAAAGGAGAAGAACAATGATGAAGAAGCAATACAGCCACCACCAAAGTCTGCAGGGAAACCCACAGATGCACCACCAAAGACAGCCACCACCAAAGACAGGGACATACCATCTTTTGACCTCAGCCCATTCAATCCACCATCACAAACAGAAAATGTCAACATCACCACAGCAACAGCATCACAACAACTAGAAGAACCGCGCAAAAGAAGGATAGTGGTTAAGAATGTCCATGGACCAGAGAAGAAAGCAAAAACATCAACCCCTCCACAAGAAAAAACAAGCAAACAGTTGGAGAATAAACAATTCATTGAATGGTCAAGCTTGTACTCGAACAGCCAGGAGAGGCTACAGGAGATAAATGCATGTTTGGCTGCTTACATTGATGACCTGAGTACACCAGTTTCACAACCAATGCCAGGAATGGACTCATCAGCAGCAAATCAACCAGTTGAAGCAAAAGATGGTGCCCTAGATGCAATCCCAATTGCAATGATGGTTACACCACCTCAGACAACTCCTGATGAAGTTTTCAATGACATTCTTGAGTACATAAGGTGCAAAGACAACAAGATTGTCTCCGAGTAAGTAAATTTCTTAATATCAATTAATTTCTTAATGACATATGGTATGGTATGGTATGGTATGGTATGGTATGATATGGTATAATGTTGAACAATACCACATGGTATAATATGGTATACTCTTCTGAACAGGGACGAGGTAATGTTCAGAAGGGAGGATGGAACAGGCTTGCTCAAAAGGTCATCATTGCAATCTGTTGACATAGATCAACTGATAACAAATGATGTCGTGGACTGGTATGGAGATCTGATGAACAGAGATCAAGCAAAAACAGGAAAAATCACCAAGTGGTTCTTCTCTAGTCATTTGGCAGTAAGTTTGTCCATATTTTAATGTACTATACTTACCATACCTGAATATATGATTGCTTTAACATAATTTCAAATGTACAGTCTGACTGCAAGCTGGACATAGAAAACAACAAACCTCCACTAAGTGCAGACCAATACTTCGACAAGGTGGATGAATATATTTCTGACAAACCATGGGCAAAAGACCTCAGCTTCCAGAACTGTGACCTTGTAAGTAACACTACAAATACCATAAAATACCATATGGTATGACATCAAAAAACTATTCCTCAAAACATATTTATAATTGTCCATTAACATTCTCACTTCATTTATATGCAGTGGTTCTTCCCTTACTGTGATGGTGAACACTACATCATGATCTGTGTCAACATCAAGAACACAAGATTTGATGTGCTTGACAGTCTCCGCTACAAAGACTTTGACTCGACTTACAGACCAGTGGCAGCAAGAGTTATCAATTATGCAATCAACTACATGAGTGTGTACGGTGGAAACAGACAAATCCCCTGGGAAAAGTTTGACTGGTTCAATCTGGGGAAGATTACACAGCCAGATAAACGCTCATGTGGATTGTACATCATCAGATGGATGCGCCACTGGGAAGGAAAGTACAAGACTTTTATGCAATCAGACTGGAAGAGAATGGATCTGATCAAAGAAGACAGGGAGTGTATCATGCTGGATATCATCCTCAATAAAGACAACCTGGAGCGTGATCGGATAATGAAGGCTGCCACAAAGTACTGTGCTATGAAGAATCAAAGCAAGTAAGGGAAGTGGACAGAATCAGTATGGTTACAATATCTACTATAGACATCAGCTTCTGAAAACAATGGTTTTGCAGACAACCAATTTGCTAGTTTTTTTTTTATGTGTGTGCTTTTTAGAACAAACAAGGTATTCAGTGTGTTTCTTATGGGTGTGTTATAACTTACATTTGAAACACTTCTTATTATGGTTATGTAACAGCCTAGTACTTTATCTTACCCCTTATTATTGTCACAGATCTAAGATTACAGTCATCAAAATGTGTATACCATAGTATACCATATGGTATAACATGGTATAAACGTTTTTAAATGCACCACAACAACATAGATGGTATTTTATGGAAACTGAACACATCACAGATAACATATCTAACATTACAGTCATCTAGAATGTTTATATTATAGTATACCATATGGTATAACATGGTATAAAGATCTTTACCATAGTATACCATATGGTATAACATGGTATAAGGATTTTTAAATACACCAGAACAAAGCCACATGCTATTTTATGCTAAACTGAACACAACACTTAGCTAAGATTACAGTCATAAAAATGTTTTTACCATAGTATACCATATGGTATAACATGGTATAAACATTTTTAAAAACACCACACAACACCATATAGAAAAAACATTATATCAAAGGTTAAAATCATCCACTAAACATTAAGTCCTTCACATGTGCAGATCAATACTACTTCAAAACAAAACAAATATGCAAGAAACACATAAAAATCAACATCCTTCAACAGCTAATAAAACTCCACAGCCTTCAAACAACTATCACAACTTCAACTTCAAACTTTCTTCCACAGCCTTCAATTTCTCCTCTTCCAATCTGCTAGTCTTTTTCTTCTTCCTACTAGCCGCCCTTCCAATCTCAGCTTCTGTAATAGGTCGTTTCGAAGGCTTAAATGAATCCTTCTTAGGCTTAAACCCCTTCACATTTCGAACTGGAACATCACCTACAAATAAGAAATACATACTACAATCAATACCACATAATACCATATGGTATTCCAACATATTACCAGAAACAATAAAGAAAACCACACTATACCACATGGTACAACATGGTACAACATGGTAAAACAACTTGGCAGACAAAAAAATAACAAAAATCATATACACAAACAAAAGGGGGCCAATGAACTTACTCTCACAGTTGGTCGATCCACCCGTACCAGCTGTTTCAACAGTTGGTAAAGCTTCACACTTCTTGATCAAATCACTCATGAAATCCATGGTTGTTTTATACAAATCATCATTCAAACAAACCCTACTGATAAGCGAAGCAGAAACAGCTGAAATATTGAACAGGCGAGACCGATACTTTGACGGAGCCTCAGTAGACGAAACTGCAAATCCAAAATTCCCACCAGTTTTTGCTGTCCTTGTCCATCGCTTCAAAATCAAACTAGAAGGGATGTGATGAAACTTCACATTGCAAGTTGTAGACCACAACAAATCATATCCCCTCAATTGATGCTTACACAACAAACCGCTTGACTCCCACTTGCGACAAGTACACTTAATTTCACCATTATCAAAATCAACTATGAGCAGTCTGCTGTCAAACCTTGACAAGTCTGCTAACAATGTAAAGACATCAAAGATCTTTACATTCCCTTCTTGAGCTAACTCTGTATTAGGGAAAACATTGTATGAAAGAGATTCTTTGTACTGTCCTAGAAAAAGCTGGAATATTTTTGGGGTATATAGATCAGCAACTTGCTTGACAATAGCACTGCTTGAAAAGCGACAATCAGCAAACGTAGAAAGTGCTCTGTACTCCTCTTCTTCTTCAGCATCTCTCTTATTATCAAGCATCCTATCAAAATGTACAAAGAATCTAGGAATACTAAATTCTGACTGCAAGTAATGACGAAGATTACTGTTGCAACACTCGCTTAACTGGGTGCTCTTCATACCAGCACCAAAATGAGAATTCACCCAAGCCGATGACCACTTCTCCCTCACCTTGTAAATACCTTGTAACCAACTGTGTCCAAGAGGTCCTTTCCCAGGGAAACACTTATCTATCATTCTTTTCCAATTATACTCAAAATCATCCTCATCATCAACATTGTACATCAAATAGCTAAACTCACAAAGGAAATCCGAATCACACAAAGATCCCAAATTAACAACTGCATTCTGTGAGATATGCCATGAACACAATCCATGGAAAGAACTTGGGAAAACAGACCTTATACCAGCAGCAATTGCAGCAGCCTGATCAGTAAAGATAGACAACGGGCTCACACCTCCCATGCATTCCAAAAACTGATTAAACAACCACTCAAACGTTGCCGTTGTTTCATCATATAGAAAGGCAGCTCCAAACACAGTAAGTTGATGATGGTTGTTGAAACCAACAAACAGAGCTGCACATACCATGTGGTACACAGTGTTAAAAAAATGAATACCACAAAATACCACGATAGTATTAACAGATAACAACATAATGAATACCACAAAATACCACCATAGTATTAACAGGTAACAACATAATACCAAATAAAAATAAGAACACATACCTAGTGGTCGATACTCTTTATTCGTTCTGTATGTAGTATCAAAACTAACTGAATCCCCGAAAAAATGATAATCCATCCGCATCTTCCCATCTGCCCAAAAAATACTAGCAATATTCTCATCCACATCAACCTCTACCTCATGAAAAAAGCCAGGATCCAGCTTAGCTTGTCTTCTAAAGTGTTTTAGTAATGCAGTTGCATCACCATGCTCCATTGATGACGTCCTCACTGTCCGCAGGTGGTTCTTCAAATCATTTCTTGTGAAACCAATACACTTCCGACCACCACCAGCTGTACTAATTGCATTATACGAAGCAGTCGCACCTATACCAGCAGCATCATTCACATCTGCCAACAGTTTATACACAGGAGCCATTTTCCTATTCGATCTCATGTAGTGACGCATAGCCACAGGAATCATGTCATGGTTATGCACATCATACCACTTATAAATCTTGTAACAATTGAACTGCTTAAACCACCTAATTCGAATATAGGCACCATCACATCCACCCCTGATTTCTGGAACATGACGAACACGAGCCTTCGCATCAATAGAACCACGATTAGCAGGATTATTCTCACTACCAATCCTCCAGCCTTCCTTATTGCAACAATACTTGATATAATAAACCGCATTTGAACCATTATTAAGCTTCGGACATGCCGACTGATGGTAAATCCTCACACAAAAACCTTTATAATTCCCATAATCCACATAAAATCTATATGCATCATCAGTTGTAGCGAACTCAAGATTGTTCCAGGAACTTCGAACATTAGGATCAATACCATCAAAACCTAAAACATAAAAACAATGAAACATTAATGCTGTACAAACTATAATACCACCATTGTATCATATGGTAAAGTTTATTACAATCAAAACTATACAAATACCAGTGTAGTTTCTTATGGTATAACATGGTATTGTATGGTATAACATATATACAGAAACATAAAATCACAACAACTATAAAAACAATCTACAACAAATAAAACACAACACTCATATGCAAAAATACCATAGTATACCAGTATGGTATAACATGGTATAAACACTGGTACCATATAGTATAACATGGTATTGCAAGGTATTGCATGGTATAAACATATATACAGAAACATAAAATCACAACAACTATAAAAACAATCTACAAAAAATAAAACACAACACTCATATGCAAAAATACTATAAAATACCAGTATGATACTGTATGGTATAACATATATACAAACATCAACTTACCAAACACATTTAAAATTCTTACCTTCCGATTCAACAATACTATTAGAAGAACTAGATCCAGTATTAGATTCATTCAAAGAAACAATGGCGCCTTGATTGAGATCACTCATTGCACTAAAAAAGCTCAGTCAACAAAGAAGATTCAAAAAATTCCTGCACAAAACATAAATTCAACTACGGATCAATCAACTGAACAAACTTATACAAACATAATGAGATCATTGATCACAAAGAACATAAAACAGAGAGCACAAAAGAGAAAACGCAGATATATGGTATAAACTGGTATTGCATGGTATAATCATATATACACAACATCAAAAACAAATTACAGAACGGAATCAATCCGCAAACGTGAAATCCTACTATCACTACAAATTACCTCGACGGAGACCAAATAACGGCCAACAGAAACTTCAACACAAACAAATCGAGCCAAAACCTCGAGCAAGAAGAAGAAGAAGAAGAATCGCGTCCTCCACAGACCTTCTAACAACTATAACTCGCAAATCCGCTGCCGATTAAGCTAAGAATCGCGTCCTCCACCAACCTTCTCGCCATCGACAGATCCTTCGGAGAAAAACTCTCGATTGCTCTGTTTACTTCTCATTCTCTCTCATGAATCCAATTCCAGCTCGGCCAAGGATAAACAAAAAAGGAATAACGAGCGAAGGACATAAATTCAAAAAATGGACAAAAATACCCCTGCCCCACCCCGCTCCGACCCCAGCCGTTAGATCTCCCCGCTCCAGATGGACGGCTCCTGTTGGGTTACTCACGGGTGCATAACCATGGGTTATGCACCCTATCTTGGACCGGAATTAGGGGAGATTTGTTTAATTATTCTGATTATTAAACAAGGTAACTTGTTGACATTCGGTTGCTTTGCATGCCATTCACCAGAAGGAGCTCTTATTGCAGAGTATTTCTCACCATTATTCAGTAACATTTTGATTTGTTTTGTAAGAGACCAGACTTTTCCTAAAGTTAGACCGTAAAAGAGCTCCACCTCTGTGATTCATCCAAGCTTTATTTCACAAGAACTATGATTCTGCATTTTTCTAAGCCCGTTTCTTTGTTATTCAAATAGTTCTATTCTACATTTTGTATGGCTTTGATTTATCTTCTTCTCTATCAAGTAGACGAGCTCTACCATGAATTCATGGAGTATTGGAAGTATGACAGTTGCTGGGAAAGTAGTACTAGTTATGTCCAAAGGAATGTACTCTAATTACGACCCCTACGACTCTAACAATGTCAGAGCTTCAACCCCATGTGATCCAGGAAACCAAAATACAACTCTCTCCAGGGTGTGCAGCCTAGTATAGAACCAACTATGCCCCAAAATCCAACTAGAAAACCAGCCAATACGCTTACAGACAACCAAACCAAACCATCTTCACCGGAACCTGGTACGATAAAGATGTACCTTGTACTGCAGCTGACATTTAAGGGACGACCACAAAGTGCTATGTTGCCAATAAAGCTGGATGAATCGAAGCTATGGAGCTGGGTGCTCGAAGGAATTCTCCCACTCAAGTTGTTGTGGGACAAGTTGAGGAGATTCAAGAATGTTAAACTTGCCATCCCTGGAGGGATTTTACCTGAGAATCGGTTTCCAGACAAGTCCAAGGATTCCAGCGATCCCATGGCAGCTATATCCCCTGGGATCTCACCTGACAGCCGATTATGCGACAGGTTCAGGTATTGCAAGGCCCTCAGCTTCATCATCTGCTGCGGAAACTTTCCCGACAGCTTATTCCAGGAAAGGTCCAAACTCCTAACATAATTCAGTATGGTGCTGTAACCCTTAACCTGCCCTTTCGTCACCAGAAACTGATATTCCACGAATGATTGCATCCCACCAAAGAAGAGGGCTATTACTCCTTCTGCCTCAATTTTGGAGCTGCTTGCCATGGCGCTGAAATTGGAAAAACATTCTGGCAATTTGCCTGAAAGAAAGTTATGAGAAAGGTCTAAAATTTGCAGGAGCTGGAGACGGCAGAGCTCTTCAGGAATATTTCCCTGGAATTCATTCCCCCGAAAGCTGATAATTTGCAGCCTCAAAAGGCTTTCCCCAATCCACTCTGGAAGCTTACCTTCCAAACTGTTATCAGCCAAGTCGATAGAGACTAGACTAGTGCAGTTGCTGAGGGATGAAGGGATTTCACTGGCCAAGCTGTTATTCTGGAGGCGTAGTGAAAGAAGGGAGGTTAAACTTCCAATCGACCTAGGAATCTTGCCTTTCAAGTTGTTGCTGGCCAGTCTCAAGACCAGCAAATTCTTCCAACTCCTCAAGCAATCGGGTATCTCTCCAGAGAGAAGGTTGTCTTGAAGGTTAAGAAATTGTGTCTCTCTCACCTGAGTTGGATTAAAGCACAGGAACTTGATCAAGTTCCCAGTGAACAAATTGCTGGAAAGATCCAATGCAGTCAAATTGGAGGAGATAACTGGCAGACGACCCTCCAATCTATTCCAACTGAAGTCAAACAATGTGTCTGCGGAATGAGCCAAGATAAAACTTGGAACCCGTCCCAGGATTTGGTTATGTGACATGTTCAGATAGTAGAACTGAGAATGCTTGGCCCAGAACCAATCAGGAACTGTTTCTGAAATTCCAGAGTTTGAGAGATCAAGAGACCCTAGGTACTGAAGCTGTTGGAGCCATTTGGGGAAGGCAGGTCCTACATACCAGGAATTCAGGTGCAGTATCCCGAGTGGCTCTGGTGGAATCCAATCTGGTGTAACTTTCAGCGTCATCCGGTTCCCAGATGCACTGAAACGACTCAGTTTTGTGAGTTTGGCGAAGTGGATTTCAGGGGAGATAACACCTTCCATTGAGTTGAGAGAAATATCAACCCATTGCAACTCTGAAAGTTCCCCAAAACTTGTCGGAATCGTCCCATTGATCTGGTTCCTATCGAGGGTTACGTACGTCAAGGATTTTAGTTCCCCAAATGACATTGGAAGGGGTCCAGAAATGGAGTTAGCCTCTAGGGAAAGTCGACTTAATCTCGTGAACTTCCTAATTTCTTCGCTCAACTGACCAAACAGTTGGCACTCGGACAACGCCATTCTCTGTAGACTGGTAGAAGGACACTCTCCAAGGATTTCAAGCAACTCTGATACACTTTGATTAAGCCTTGTGCCTGACAGGTGTAGTGCCCTCAAATGGCAGAGACTTTTGAATGATGCTGGAATCCCTCCTTCAAATCGAAGACCCCGATTGTACGACAAATCGAGAGTAACCAGAGATGTCAGGTTCCCGATGGAATTGGGAACTCTGCCTTCCAGATTGTTGTTATAAATGTTGAGGTACTGGAGGTGGTGAAAACTGAACAGCCAATGAGGCAAGGAACCATTGAACTTGTTTGAAGACAGTTTAAGATATATGAGGGAGGTAAGGTTTTGAAGCTCCCCGGGAATCGTACCTCTAAGGTTGTTTTGTGCTAGATTCAAGGAAGTCAGGCTTTTCATATGAGAAACCCAGATAGGAAATGAAGTTGGACCAAATTGATTCTGATCTAGAGCAAGAGTCGACAACAATGACAGGTTGACTTTTGCTAAAGGTGGATTATGGCGAATTTGGCAACTTGACAAGTACAGTTCTGTAATGGACGGGAGTGTGTTTATCATGTTGAGCCAATCAGAAGCACTACTGAGGTTGACATGGCTCAAATCAAGGTATTCTAATGATGGAAGACCAGAAAGCCACTGCAAATTATCAGCATATAATGCATATGGAGCATAAACACTAGCTCGGAGACCAAGTTGTTGCAAGTTTGAGAGATTTCCAAGTTGATGAGGGATGAATCCACCAAATCCAGACCCATCAAGGAAAAGATATTTTAAGCTGCTCATGGAGCTGATAAATCCTGGAATTGGAATCCCTTGAAAATTGTTGCCTGACAGATCCAAATGGCTCAGCTGCTTGAGCTCAAGTAAGGAAGGACTAATCTTACCCTTAAATGTAGAATTCTCAGGACATTTAGGGCATCCCAGATGCAGCTCAGTGACATGACCAGTAACGTTGTCGCATACGACACCAGGCCATTTGCAACAGTCTCCGTTGCTGCCAGCCCAAGGAGAAAGCCGGCCTGAGGAGTCTTGGAGATCAGCCTTAACTCGGAAAAGGGCTTCTCTTTCAGATTGAATGCAGCTGCTACTTGCACCAAAAGTTGCATAATAGAACAAACACATCCAGCTCAGTGAAACAAGAACCTCTGCAGGAACAATCATGGAGTTGCAGCGGCAAAACGCAGCAGAGCAAGAATGCAAGTCCTTTTTTACTTTTAGTTGGAAAGTTGGTTTCTTTAGCAAAGGAATGTCTAGTGCACAACCCTGTCAATGCGAACTTCTATAATGCTTTATGAATGTATGGCACAGAGTGTATTGAATTCCTTACTTTGTGTTTTGGTCTTGTTGTATTCCATTTGGGTTCAGGAGGATCTGCCGAATAATTTCTCTGCCGGCTTCTTTCGGCAGCTGCGGATCATTTGATGAATAGCCCCATTCACATGATTCATGTACCAACAAAATAGTCCGAATATAAATTTACTAGGTGAAAGAGTGCCGCCTAATCTTCGGCCGAGCTTGATTCCCTTGGCGGAGAACTCGAACTCGACTGCCTGGTCTGAGCCCGACCTTTCTGCAGACCAATGTTTCATTATCCTGTCGAGAGATCCACACGTCCACTCCACGATCCTCAAACCACAGGTGTCCGCCTTGATTTGATCCCAGGAGCGAACAATTTCCGGATCCCTACTTACAGTCATGGACAGCGAAGTGGGAGAACCCAAACCTGGGCTTGGAAGTTGGTGGAAATGGCATTCGTGGGGATCTTGCGATTGTGATAGAGAAGGAGCGGTTGGAGTAGTCGTCCTCGGGGAAGAAGTCGTCATTATTGTTGCCGGAGAACGGGAGAAGGAAGCTGCGAGCCAGCGACGGAACTCGGATGGAAGATTGAAAGGCAATGCCACATTTGTTCTCGGGAATTATTAAATGGTATTATGTTTAATCACTAAAAAAAATTAATATCAATTGTGGTCACTCGAATTATTAAAACAGGTCACATCGTTAGTCTCCGTCCAACTCTGATCACTCGAATTACTGAAATATGTCACATTTAATCACTTTCTGTTAGCCTCAGTTAGAGATGACAACAAAACCCGAATCCACGGGTGAGCACTTCTACTATACTATATAGCAGTGGTGCTTTAATGTACAACTCAAAGTTGTACCATAACATTAAACGTATAATTTTAGGTTGTACCATAAAACAATTTGTATCATTAATTCATTATGTTATGGTACAACTATACAACTTGAAGTTGTACCATCACATAAAAGTACAAGTTCAAGTTGTACCATAAAAGAATTTGTACAAAAAGTATAGGTACAATCTGAAGTTGTACCATAACGTAAATGTACAATTTTAAGTTGTACTATAAAGGCAAAAACCTATAGCACAAATACTATATAGCATTGTAAAATTTCTCTCCACGGGTACTCACCCAACCCAACCCGGTCAACGCGGGTAAAATCCGTGTTGACGGGTTTTGGGCCGAGTTTGGGTTTAAACCCGCTTACTATTCATCGAGTTGGGTTGGGTTTTGGTTTAGGTAAACCCGACCCATAGGTACCCACCCACACCCATATAATTAATTTTTTGGTATATGTAATATTCTAAACAACTAATCTTATTTATGTTTGTGGAGACATGTATAAGTTTTTATTTCTGATTGTGTAGAATGAAGTTGATGTTATCGAGTGGAGAGTGAAAAAACTTAATTGAAAGGAGGAAGATTTAAATTAATTATGTTATTTATGGATAATTTGTGATTTGCTTCAATTTTCTTGAGTTTTCTAGATTGGTGTTGAACAATTTGTATAGTTAATTTGTGATTTGCTTGAATTTTCTAGAATGGTGTTTTATATATGGATAATTTGTATTGAGAGATTGATATTTGACTTTGATTTTGATAAGAACTTGTTATTGTAAATTTTTTACGACAAAAACCCGTGGGTACCCATGAACCCGCGGATACCCAGCGGGTTGGGTTGGGTTTGATTTTTTCAAACCCAGTGGGTTTTACCCCGAGTTTTTTTCACGGATAAACCCATGGGTTTGGATTTGGGTTTGACAAAACCCGACCCATTGCCATCCCTAGCCTCAGTCCAACTCCGTTAATGGAGTTGGATGGACACTAACAGGAGAGTGACTAAATGTGACATGTTTCAGTAATTCGAGTGACCAAAATTTATATTAATTTTTTCTAGTGACTAACCATGACATGATTTAGTAATCTCAGTGACCAAATGTGGCATTTACACGATGAAATTAAGGAACTCAAATTAATTAATTAACTCTTTAAAATAACAAGTTCTAAAACACTAGAGTCACATCACATGGATGCTCTTTTTGTAATTACCCAAAGCTTGAAGGAGTTTTTAGGTCATTATGATTAAGGTTCTAATTAATTAACTTATGACAATTGAATCCAAATTCAACCCAAATCAATAGGCACTCCATCTAATTCGACCCCATTAAATCGAGTTGAACTCGGTATTGACAATTTTTGTCAACGAGTTTTAGTGCCATTAAGGTTCTAATTAACCCAAATCAATAGGTATTCCACCTAATTCGACCCCATAAAGCGAGTTGAACCCGTTGTTGAGAAATTTTTTGTCAACAAGTCTTTTTGCCATTAAGGTTCTAATTAATTAACTTATGAAAATTCAGCCAAATTCCATCCAAATTAATGGGTACTCAACCTAATTCAACTCGGTTAAAGCGAGTTGAACCTAATTCGAGCCGGTTAGAGCGAATTGAACTTGGTGTTAACGACTTTTCGTTCGAGGACGAGTTCTACATGCTTTACTTAATTAATTGACTTATGACAATTGTACCCAAATTCAACCCATATCAATGGGTATATGACCTAATTCGACCCGGTTAAAGCGATTTGAACTCAGTGTTGACGAATTTTGGGTCTACAGCGAGTTTTACACGCTTAAATCAATGTCGACCCGGTTATAGCAAGATGAACCCGGTGTTGTTCAAGTTTTGCACGTTTAATCAATGGGTATTGACCTAATTCGACCCCGTTAGCGCGAGTTGAACTCGGTGTTAACGAATTTTGGGTCGAGGACGCGTTTTACATGTTTTACCTAATTAATTAACTTATGACAATTGTACCCAAATTCAACCCAAATCAATGGGTATTCGACCTAATTCGACCCAGCAAAAGCGAGTTGAACCCAGTGTTGAAGATTTTGGGTTGACAACGAGTTTTGCACGCTTAAATTACTAGGTAATCGACCTAAAGTTGACGAATATTTGGTTGACAACAAGTTTTACATGCTTAAATGAATGGGTATTCGACCTAACTCGATCTAGTTAGAGCGAATTGAACTCGGTGTTAACGAATTTTGGTTTGAGGAAAAATTTTATATGCTTTTGTAATTGGCAGATTGGGTCGGTGTGACTTTATTAAAAACTGACCCTACTTGCCTTGCTAACATTTTAAACTTTCATTATTTTGTTTTCTTTTTATTTTTAAGCGAGTTGAACTCAATTATTGACGAATTTTGGTCGACAACGAGTTTTATAAGCTTAAATAAATTGTATTTGACTTAATTCAACCAGGTTAAAGCGAGTTGAACTCGATGTTAACGAATTTTGGGTAGAGAATGAGTTTTGCACTCTTTTGTGATTGACAGGTTGGGTCGGGGCGAATTTCTTAAAACTCTCCCCACTTGCCTTTGTTGTCATTAAACTTTTATTATTTTTGTTTTCTTTTAATTATTACTGTTGACACATTTTAGGTCGTCAACGAGTTTTACACGCTTAAATTAATGGCTATTCGACCTAATTCGACCCAGTTAAAGCGAGTTGAACTCGATGTTAACGAATTTTGGGTTTTCTATCTAAATGGTATTCGATCTAATTCTACTCGGTGTTGGCGAATTTTGGGTCGAGGACAAGTTTTACACGAGTGGCATTATTGTGCTTTAGTGGAATTTTGAAGGATTATTTAGGAAAGACTTGCTTCTTTGTTTTTTTATTTTAGTTTTGTTATATATTCACACACCCAAAAATCAAAATAATCGATCCGGTCTAAGCGAATTGAAGCTGGTGTTTACGAGTTTGGGTCATGACCGAATTTTACTCACATTGATTATTTACTGGAAATTTGAAGGATTATTTGGGCTAGACTTGCTTATTCATTTTTTCAGTTTTATTTTCTTATTTATTCGCA